CTCATGTTCACACAAAGGAGTTTTGAATTAGAACACACCATAATTAAGCCCAAATGTCCTTTGCTCGAGCTGCAATCACCTGTGTCCTGCATTGTTGTGTTAGCACGCTAATGTTAGCGCTCTTTAGTTAGCTCGTAGCTTCATATTGCACATAAACTGACACAGAATGAGCGTGATATAAACACACTTATGTGACATCCAAATAATCAGTGAGTATGTTCTTCTTCTTCTCTCTAGTTCTTGACTAAAACAGCTTTTATACACAAGGGGAGAAGCCGGCCGTCCCGTCCATGTAAACACGGCTCTGACAACAATACAGCCAGCGGGACTCGAGCTTCTCCCTCATTGTAGACAGTCATGACTCAGAGACACGTTTACACAGGAGATACTTCGTTTCTGCTGTATTTATGTGTACAATGTCGCATATTCTTCCTGATTCTGAAAGCAGCCTCACTGCACAGAAAACCAAACAAAGAAGAAGAAATAACATCCATATCATAGAATAGAAATCCGATATGGATCTGTGCATCAGCATCCGTGTGTGGTGTAACAAAAGGTCAGTATTAAATCAATGCCCTGACCCTACAGCTCATGTGCTGTATGTGCTCATGTATGGGGAGAGATAAATGAACGGTCTGAAGATGATAAGTTATTGACCTTGGTGTCATGGTGCTGCATGCTGTCCAGAAACACACGCAGCCTCTCATGTAAATGTGAGGAAATCTGTCTGCTAAAACATCACTCCTCTGCAATCAATAGCCACGTTTGTGTGTGAAATCTATCCCGCACCCAACCAGAAAAAAGCCCTTCTTACTAAATCCTAATATTCCCGTTCACTGCAGCTGTGCTACAACAAATGTGCTATTATAATCCCTCTTTCATTTACTAAACCACTTGTTTGAATAGTTGGGTTGCCATATTTGCACCAAAAAAAAAGCCTTTTATTCAAGTCTTTTGTAATGTTAAAAATTAGGTGTTTGTTTCTCTTTATACGATGAGAAATCCAGGCTTTTCTTTTGTGCATGTGTCTCTACCCCCCGCTCTGCAAAGTGTTGACTTGTTGGTTTGTTTACAACGAGCAGAAGCGACTATAAACAGGCAAAACATACCACGTGTCACCAACTGCACTACAACCCCCACTGAGACGTGTGTTTTGAACCTCCTGTTCACGAGACCAAAGAATGCTGCTCAGCTCTGAATAACATGTGAATGCCTTTACAGTCAAATGCAACATACAAAAATAGGGCAATTCAGAGTTTTCATCTTAAATATGTTATTTTCATGACTAATATAAGTAACTGGAATATTGTTATTTTAGGAATAATAGTGTGAAATCAAAAAAGCTCTGTATTAATGAATGCATACTCCCCAGCTGGGAGCCCACTGATCGAATCCTTCACTCTATAAGCACTCTCTTTCTATTGTGATGCATAGGCTGTGTAAATAAATGGACGACCTGACACCTCCCAAAGTGAAGCCAGAACATCTGGAGCCCCCCCTACTGGCTGGCTGCAGTAAAGGATGTACAGCCCGCCTCCTCTATGTTTACACAATGCAACATGGGTCAACTATAAAAACATGGTTTATGTCATCAACCAATCACTCAAACTTTTATTTATTCTCGTAAGGACATTGAGGTTTCACTCATACACGATGCTGTTGTGATTATAAGCACAATAAAACCAGCAAACACAACAACAAACACTTCAAACCAATTATTAAAAACACTGAGATCAATTAAAACACTTACAATTCAAAACAAATTGACTACAAATTAAATTCCTAAACTCTGTAAGAGAGGGAAGAACTCTAATCTTTTAGAGTTTCCTGGAAGGCATCAAAAGAAAATGCAGTTTTACCGAGTTCAGTAAAAGCTATATAACTTGTTCTCATCATGCCGAGTGTTCACCTTTCTGAGAAGTTTAGATCCAATTAGTTATTTGATATTATAAAAAGGATGTAATGCCACGATTGACAGCTCTGTTGAAAAATGCGACTCCTGTGGTGCCCAGATCAGCATAAAAGGAGGAGGAACGGAGAGACGAGACGTTAACACAAAACTCAAACTTTCCATAAGTGTGTGAGTGTCTTCTTCAGACTGACACAGGAATCTTTTCTGCTTTGGACTGCACTGACCCGAGGGATCGTTGCTGTTTTTATGGAAAGGTTAAATGAGTTGGGGGGCGGTACTTCCAGCCAGTCCTTATACTGTGCAGACTCTGGCTCTAAATGCATAACATGGCAGCTCTCATCGTAGGGGGGATTTCAGCTTCACTTGTGAGATAGAGGCAGAGACGCGTTGACCATCTTATATACAGTCAAATGGTCTGAAGTCTTCAGCGAGTGGGGGTGCTTCCTTTTCTGTCCGTGTTGCTGTAGCAGACAGCCATCAGCACAAAGCAGAACTATATTTAAAAAAATGTTCCTGACTGAAACATATTCAATGTGGATGTCAGATTAGCTCAGAAACAGCCGTCATATCTCTTTCCCCATCAACCCCGTGAGACAACTTGCTGACGACTCACTCGCTCTTAGAGTCGAGGTTAAGTTTGACCTGAGGTTGAGACATTACGAGTCTCTTACCTGAACACCACGAGCATGGCCTTGGGGCTTCCTGCCTTCACCCTAAAGCAACCAAAAAAATGCTTTCTTACATGACTGGTCATGCTCCAGTTGTATCACCCATTGCCCTTATTAATGACGCAAAACAAATGGGCTAACTTCCCGAGAAGCAGGTGTAAGGTTCTTCTTGGCCTTTGGAATCATATAATTTATATTCCCATTGAGAGGCGCAAAGATATATTAAACCCACAGGGGAGAGAAAGCCATGGATTAAACATGGTGAAGCCCTGAACGCCATGTCAGCGGCCAAAGATTAACTCAGCTGTATTTCTCCCCTACTAATCAGAAAGTGAGACCCTTTAGGTTTATTTAGAGCTTCAGGGGGGGTCAGCACATGTTCAATCTAACACAACACACACAGTAATTGTATTTAATAGTGAGGTGTGCATGAATGTTTCTGCCGCTGCACCCACTCAAACCATTTCAAATCCAGGGTTTAAAAAACAACACTATTTCTAGCCCAAAAAAATGGCAAACTCTGAACCATATTTATCAGAAGTTACATTTGCTGCAAGGCTTTTTGAGGAATTCAATGTGGTGGATACTTGGTAAAAATGTATAATATTTAGTGAAGGGAGGTGAAGGGTCATGCCAATGCACAAAAGGCATCATCCATTGCTTGTAGCTAAAAAAAAAGAAAAGAAAAGAAAAGATTTACCAAGGAGCCCTCAATGCTCAAATCTTTAATTTAGAAGTCATCTAAAAGTCTGGGATTGCATTCATTACCTTGTATGCAGTGGAGTCTGCAGTCAGTTGAAAACAATGCAGCTACAGAAGAGTGAAAGCTGCGGAAAAGAGCCTCTTTGTTGGCAATGGCGTCTTTGGATTTAGCAAGCAAAGTTTAACCAAATACTTCAGAAATCAGCTCATTATATATGTGCAAAATAAAAGAAAGCACAGAGGTCAGAAAAGGTTTAGAATTCTCACTTTTTTTGGTACAGGAAAGTGTTTACAAGAATTTAATCTAACATATCATTTCAAGTTTATTTCAGCACCTTTTGCCTTTGAGGTCACGCAGGGCTTTGTATGCGAGTCACAGGATTTTGTAGTGGATTCTGAATTTTACTCAAGACAATGAAGGGCGGCAAGAATAGGGGGGATGGGGGATGTTCAGCTGGTTTGGGTTTATAGTGCACACAAACCTGACCAATTAAAGGTGATTCTGATGTTAATCTTAATTATTGAGATCTCACAAGCATGGGTGAAACATTTCTCTGAAGCTGACAAAGCAACAGTTAGTCAATCAGACCTGTTTATAATGTGAGCCCAAATCAGTTCTATTTAGCAGAAACATCAAAAAGAAAACAGTTAAATTAAGACCAAAACTGTCTTTGAACACATCCATATCATCATATCATTTGTGTGACAAATGTTTTAATTGTATCTGTAAAAGGACCACATATATAAAATATACGTTTCTCTTGACACATCACACCTGCGTCACCTTAAAATGTAGAGTAAGCAGCTTTTTCCGAGAAACAAAATATAGACTTGTTGCTCAAGCATCACTTATGGGCCTCCATACAGGTGTGGTGGTGACAGTTTCTACAGACACCTTGACCTCTGACTGGATTTTCATGTTTAATTTTGTGCTTGTTAACACAAGACGTTTTCAGGGTTGTGGAGCTGCTAATGACAGCGCACAGGTGAGTTTAGGAGTTGATACAAATCAGGGATTGAATATGACCGACTGGGACGTAGCAGCAAAGACGAACACAATCACAGTACGAGGGGAAACACCAAGTGGATGAAGCTCGTTCCAGGATGAGGGTGAACCTTGTGTGCGGACGCAGAGTTGGCCTGCTTTCTTTTGGACAGGCAGGTGACAAACAACGGGTTAGCTTGTGCTAGCGTGCGGTAGCTTGCAGTGGAGGAACAAGCAGTAAACGTACACACTACGTCCTGCAGTGTGTACAAGCCTCTGGGGGCGATGAGCTCAGGAGGAGGGGCCCAGTTTGAATGTGACGTCTACAAGTTGCAAAAAAAGCAATGCTGCTGACTCCATCTTTTACTTTTACATAAACCTACTTGCACAAATGTTCAGTTTCCCTGTTCAGTTATGAGATATTTCAGCAGTGTGTAGTTCCCCTTGAATGTGATTCTGATAATCTGCTTGACCCGTTCGCTTGCTTTGACCACACAGATCATCTGACTGCCTGCGCCTCGCTCCCTGTGGGATACCGTGTGAAAATGTGTCTGTTTTCCCCCGATCTCAGCAGTTACTTTTCACCAGCTTTCAAAGCTTTTAGCTAAATCCTGGCGCCTCAGCCACACCATCTCAAGCACTTACTGCCTGAAGAGCAGCGGACAACCTGACAAGATTTAAGGGCCGCTTTGTCAGTGCTGAAAATTCCCATAGCTGGAGAAAGAGTCCTTACCTGAGCCCACTGTGTCTCCAGATAAGGCTCCTCGCGAGGCCCAGATCCATCCTGACAACAAGAGACTGAAAGTAAACAGCACAGAGTTTCTGTTCACTCTCTTATCTTGATTACCGTCCTTAAACCAGCTGTTGAAGTTTAATCAACAAGGAACACAAACTTACCTGATCAAGACAGAGGAGGACAAACAATCCACTGCTCCTCATGGAGACTCAATGAACCTGCAGTGAACCAAACCGACCAACAGGGGGAGCAAGACACTGCAGACAGGGAGGAAGTGACATCACACTTACCTAATCACCAGTTCAGGGTTTCCGGGTCGAATCATGGTGGATCGGTCCACAGGTTTTGTCCTTTAAAAAGTCCTTACTGTTGGATAAAAGACCATGAAACTTTGCGTAACCATGAAGGATGAATATGCCTGACTTTGTCAATCCTTGAACTTTATACTAGAGTGCTGTTAACCATCAAACATTTAAGAGTTCCTTGAAGCATCTCATCAACTTTAGGTTGGATTATCAAAGATCTTTCAGAGACTTTTGAAGGATGTTAAAGGCTTTATATGTGATTTTTTTGATCCAGCAGATGTCGCCCTTGAGCACCAGCATGAAACCAAAACAACTCACGGTGCATTTTGTGTTAGCATGCTAATGCTAGCGACTTATTATGCTGGTTCTTCACACTGCATGTAAATTTACCTGAAATGAGCGTGATCTAGAAACACAGTTAAGCAGTGAGTACAGTATGTTATTCTTCTTTTCTCTAGTCCCTCAATTAAACAACTTTTATACGTGAGGGGAGGAGTCAACCGGCCGTCACGACGATGTAAACAAAGTGAAGATAGGACTCTGAAAACTCTGAAAACAGACAGACAGTCATGACTCACAGTTATTTTCAGAGGAGATACTTGATTTATATTACATTTAAGTGTGAAAAATCGCATAGAAAGCCTTTAACCTTTAATTGTTTGAAACAAAAGCAGATTGGCATTTTTGGATTTTAGTAATTGCAAAGAGGATCAAATGTTAAAAATACAGATGATCAATCAATCGATCAATTATTATTTGTATATAATTCATAACATGTTTATCTTGAGACACTTTAAAAAGAACATATGGGATAATATGCAGGAAGGGTTTCCCCTTTGTATTCCTCGCGTTCCTGTTGTCCACACTTCCTCTCCGCTGAGGTGGAGGTCGGAGCAGGCAGTGCATGAATGAGGACGGCGGTGGTTTTGGGGGTGACACAGTCCGATGGTGGTGGCTGGGCGTCGGGGACGTCGGATGGTGGTGGCCTACAATTCAAATGATTATATTAAGTATGAATTACACATATTTTAGTTGGGATGATCCCATACACTTTTCATCTAGTGCCTTTAAATTTGAATAATACTTTAGTTTACAGAAAAGTACCTGTGAAAGAATGCCATTCCCATCAGTGCTAGCTGTTATTTGTGAATATTTCCAAGTTATCAAAAGTTTTTACAATATGCTTTACTTTAAATGTGAAAATGCTAAAGTTACTTCCTGCTGTTAGCGTAGTCATTGTAGGTCACCGTGCTGCCGTCCCGCCTTACAGAGAACCGAGTGTGGCTGCAAACTCTTTGTCTTGTTCATCTTTGCACGTAAAGGTTTCTCGATTGTGTCTCTTTCTTTGCATCTCTTCTTTTAGGTCTTCTAGGTGAATATAAGTCACAGTATGTTAAGTTGAGTTCCTCCTCCTCTTAGACTTTTTGAAACAGAGTATAATCTGATAGCATCAACATAAAAAAAAACACATCAGAATGACCCACTGTGCACAAATTGCAGAACAAAAACAATCATAACAAATGCTGAATGGCACCGAGCAATTTTGTGCTGGAGTGAAACAAACAAACGTCTCGGCGCCGCTTTAACGGGTAAGTGGCTGCTGCTAAGATTTCACAAATCACGATGACAGCGACCCCGAGAGGAAGGGGTCGAGGCTGAGTACAAGTTATGTTTAAAGAACAAAAACGAGAGATATCACATTGTCTGATAAAAAAGTGAAATGTTCATTGTTCCTCTCTATTGTGACTACAGGGAGACATTTAGGGCCAATGGATGACGTTTACTATTTCTTAACCAGTAAGAGCAGCAGGCTAGAGTGGATTATGAGTTAGATTTGTGAAGTTTTACTTAAAGGCAGAGTTGGTAATTTCCTCCAGATACACTTTTTAAGATTATGGTGTAAATTGTCTTTAGGTCCTGACTGAAATTAATAACTCATGTTCTCTAAAAAAGGAAGAAAGAAAATCCGTCACCTGTAGCAGTTTGTAAGTCTGTAAAAACTTCAACCAATGTCTGCCACGAGGTACCAATCTGATGAACCAATCACACGCCTCCCTGTCTCTCTCGTTCTCTACCCCTTCTGGAGTAAAGGCGCTCGTGCATGTAAATGAGGGGGCGTGGCTTTAGAGGGAGCACAGAGGGGAGGGGGTGCAGACGGAGCACTGAGGGAATGTTACTTTCAAAATCATGCTAGTTTTAGAAAATGACTAACCCTGCCTTTAAACAAATATCTCATCAGGGCGCCGGATAGCCTAGTGGTTATGTTGTCCGTCTAAACCCCGTTTAGAGGAACCTTTTTAGCTCCTGCTCAACATGGTGTGTAGTTCTCAGGGAAATTCTTGGTGGATAGTTCCTCTCCAGAAAATCTCCAGAACCATTTGGTCCAAAAACATCGACTGATTCTCTTAATACCAACTTAAACAATATGATCTCAGCTGTTCAAATAAATATTGAAAGTTCAAATTGTTGATAAAAAGAACACGGCTGCATTAACACACTGTATGTGTTTTTCTTGACTAGCGTCATTTTTCATCCTTTTACTCATTTAAATCCTCGGAGAACACATTGACGGAGAAGCCTCATTTACAGACATTTAATCAGAGCACACAAACAAAGTCTAAAAACTGGGGTTTGCAATAAAGGAAAGTGAATATGAAACAGATGAAAGTTAAATGTGCAGGATGATAAGAATTACAAAATGAAAGGAAAAACAATCAAAATCACTAATGCCGTTTTCACATTATGCACTCCTGAAAGTATCTAGATAACTTCAGGAGTACTCTCCTGACCTGGCTGTTCACATATGCTCCTCACAGCGGGAGACTATCCCTGGGGAGTGCGGGGGGTCTCCTGAGGTAAGACGTGATGTAAAAAAAAACGACGCAGGAGTAGTGAATGAAAAAACACTTCCAGCATTTGGTACATTCCCTTTCTGTCAAGATTCTGTCGTTTGTAAACTTGTTTGGGGACTGGTAAAAGTGTTCTGCCACTTGTAAATTTGTTCTGGTTTTGTAATTTAGTTTTGCACTTCCCAGCCACCGTACTAAACAAATCTAGAATAAACTGATGAAATGTCACTGCGGTGTTAAAGATGTCATCTTCAGTCCGACAGTTTGAAGAACCTGAGGCCCATGAGTCCAGAATCAGGATGCAAACCTGTTCAAATCCTGCCATGTCCTCCTCACAGCACATAATCCTCTCAGTGAATAACAAGAGTACGGCCGTGATTTTTTGGGTGACAGGGTTGAATGCAGATTCATAAAATCTCTGATGAGGAACTTTGTGTTTAACGACTGCATGTATAAAAAAGTTATATGGAGTGTTTCACGGCATGATGAGGACCCGGTCTGATTGCAGAGCAAGGACAAGTAGCTTAATTGTTGCGCGTTGTGTACAGGTGGCCTAATTTCCCAAGTGCACGTAAGGGTCGCCATTACAACAAGAGGTTACAGGTCTGCACTTTCCCGCTCCTTATAATCTCACAATCAATAAATCATTCATAATCACGCTGTTTCACCTGAGGATGTCAGGCTGTACATGTTTGCTTTGTGCGACCTCTTTATCTTTAGATTGAAACGGTGACGCTGACACTTTCCAACAGAGTTCATTTGATGACAATGGAAAACGCAGCGTGGCCTTCACAGACACAAATAAAAAACTGAGTTTCTATGCACGTGTAATGGATAAATCATATATTTATTTCAGGATAACGCAGCTTTAACCTTTTAAGCTCTCAAGGTTAACACATAGAGACAAGGAAGCATCGCTGACCTTTTCATTACCAGAGACATAACAGCATCACACACACACACACACACACACACTCACTCACACACACACACACACACACACACACACACACACACGCATAAACACACACACACACAATGTTTACACTCTGGCTTTATTAAGTGCAGCCATTTGCAGCTATAGAGCCATTTAAAGTGTGATGAATAGAATTCATTTTTAGGATATTGACTAATGAGTCTATAAGAGACCAACTGGCTCGCATTAAACCAGAACTCAGACGCACTCGTCCTATGACTGATAGCTTTCCTCTTGCTCCGCACGTTTTCTAATCAATAGCGGTATCACCTTTACTTATTTAAGATGTTGGCTCATCATGTACCGCACTTGAGCTATGATGAGAGCCCCGAGGTGAAAATGTAATTAAAAAGATAATATCTCTCCTCCACTCAACTCATCTGCTGAATGCTGAATATCACAGGTGTGTAAAGCAACGCATTAAAAATAAATGGAGGGATTCATTTTCACTCTGACAGATAGCTCCGCCGCTCGTCAATCCCGTCCTCTGTGTTGGAATCAATAACACCATCTCCATTTATTTAAGATGTTTGTTAAAAAAGGTTCACTGCACTCATCAAGCGAGGGAAAGCTCACATTGATTTTCAGAGAATAAATCATGTCGGATTTATTCAGTGGTTTTTGCGCCGCTCCTTGACATATTACCCCGGTATTTGCTTTAATTAGAAGCGCTTCTTCTTTTTTTTGTTTTGTTTTTTTACTGCATGTTCAGACTGTTTTATGCATGCAATGAAGATTTCATGACTGAATCTGTGGCTGCCAAGGTTCACTTCAAACTTTAAAAAGAGATTTCAACTTTTACCCAAGCTGGAGTTGATACTTGGGTTTTTTTTTTTCTGCTTAAAATTTCTTTTCTCACTCACTTGTGCTATTCAGCACTGCAACACGAGTACCAATGAGCAGAGGTCAAAATCTCCAACAGCACTTGTTGTATGAAGATCAACTTTATTAACAAAGAAGACTGACGCATTTCAGCTTGTGGCCTTCAAGCCTTTCACTCTTCATGCACCTTGGTAGTTGGGGAAGCTGTGCCGGAAAGTCCTGCTCTGCTTTTTGAGTACATATGAGCAAAAAAAAGTTAAACG